GAGGGAAGACCCAGGAAACCACAGACCTGTAAGTCTAACCCCAGTTCCTGGAAAAATTATGGAGATGATCATACTGGGTACTACTGAAAGGCATTTAAAGAGCAATGCAATCATAAGGCACAGTCAACACGGGTTCACAAAGGGAAAGTCCTGTTTAACCAATTCGGTATCCTTCTACGTTAAGGTCACCTGCCTAGTTGATGCAGGGAAGGTGGTGGCTGTAGACTTTCTGGATTTTAGTAAGGCTGTTAATACTGTCCCTCACAGCATCCTTCTGGACAAGTTGTCCAGCTGTGGGATGGGTGGGTTCACAGTGTGCTGGGTGAAGAACTAGCTGAAGGGCAGAGCTCAAAGGGTGAACAGGGCTACATATGGCTGTCCTCTGGTGACCAGTAGTGTTCCTCAGGGTTCAATTCTAAGGCCAGTTCTGTTCAAGGTATTTATCAACGATCTGGATGCAAGAGTTGAATGCACCATCAGCAAGTTTGCTGATGATACCAAACTGCGAGCTGTTGTTGACTCTCTTGAGGGACCAGAGGCCTTGCAAGAGGGTTCTAGATAGATTGGAACATTGGGCTATGATTAGTGGGATGAAATTGAACAAATCCAAAATGCCAGATTCTGCACCTAGGATGGAGCAATGCTGCACACAAGTATAAATTGAGAGAGAAGAGTCTGGAAAGCAGCCCTGCAGAAAGCGGTCTGGGGGTCCTGGTGGGCAGGAGGCCCAATGTGGGTCGGCAACGTGCCCTGACAGCAGAGAGGGCAAACCGTACCCTGGGGTGCATCAAACCCATTACAACCAGCCGGTCAAGAGAGGCGATTGTCCCACTGAACTCAGAGCTGGTGCGGCCTGAACTTCAGTGCGGTGTGCAGTGCTGGGCTCACCACTTAAGAAGAACGTGAAGGTTCTTGAATGAGTCCAGAGGAGGGCAACAAAGCTGGTGGAAGGGCTGGAAGGCACGACCTATGAGGAACGGCTAAGGACTTTGGGCTTGTCTAGTTTGGAAAAAAGAAGGCTGAGGGGCGATCTCATTGCTCTCTGCAGCTTCCTTAGGAGGGGAAGTGGAGAGAGAGGTGCCGAGCTCTTTAGCGTGGGAGTAGTTCAAAGCTGCGCCAAAGGAGGTTTAGGCTGGACATTAGGAAGCTTTTCTTTACCAAGAG